GGAGATATTCCGTGGTGAATGAAATGCAGAAGTATTCTTCATTTAGATGTCTAAATAAATGATATATAATTTGTAGATTGATATTATATATGTATCAATGTATAAATTTGGACAACTGTACACACTTTCTTCCCATTTTCCTAGTGAGTCTGTAGCAAACTTGGGCTTAAAAGGACAGCTCTGCTTAGTTCTGCTGAGCTGTTCCACTTCCTCTATGCTTAGATTTTTGCCTCCATCAAGACTTCACCTCTATTTTTGGCAGACGTGACTTTCTATGAAATCACATTTCTGAGGTCGTCTTTTCTGTGCTGGTTTAACACTGAGTTTATATTTGCCACTGACAACATTTAAGTCCTTTACACTAGAATTTTTTTTTCTATTTCTTCCCCAAGTAGGATTTAAGGAACTAGTTCGTTTAAGTTTTAGCTCTTATGTTGCAATAGAAGCCAGGTGGTGACAGATACAACCCAGTTTCCAAAATTATTTACTAAAATCTTTAATGTCTGCTTAGATAAAGTTATGCTATCATTAAAAAATAGAACATGCAGTGGTTGTGTAGATGTTTCAGTTCTAGAGGCTGTTCGCAGTACAAATTTCTTTGAAAAATGTTGTGTGTGTGAATATACACACACACACACATATATACATAGAATGCATCTAAACACCACTTTGAAAAATATGGGTCATCCTTGGAATATCTGAAAAGACTACTCACAAAAGATATTGGTTATTCTGAAGAATATACCACACTTGATGTTGTGACCATCTGAACTCATCTGAAATCCATAAGATTGGTTTTTGTAGCACCTGACCTTATTTTATTTCAACTTTTCAGCTGCAGATTTTAAAGCACTCACCCCTTAAAATTGGCTTTGTTCTATAGCTGGACTTCAGTATCTTATTGTCTTATTAAAATGGAAATGATAGAGGAATGCATTCTTGTTCTGTGGATTTTAATAGGCTTTTCTTGCAATGTTTGACAAGACTGTATTTGTCCAACAGCAAACCTTAAGGTGGTTGTTGAGGAGTGGTTCCTCTTCTACCTCTCTTCCTGATGGAAGAGTAGCAACATCTTTAGACAAAATGCCAAGAAACCTGGTGATGTCTCAGGCCAGGATCACAGTGAAAATCAGGAAAAGAAGTGCAGGATGTGCATTACTGCAAGACTACTGGACACAACTTGTCGAATCTATAGGCATATTAGGAAGTCGAGTGGATCAGCAGAGAGACACAGTTGGTAATTGATACCAACAATATATATACACTGAGGGATCTTTTGTCGATTTACTACAAACTTGCTTTAATGTGGTCTCTCAAGTGAAATATCCATTTGAGGCTAGCCTGCATTAGGAAGATGTTTAGTTCAATTCAAAAGAAATCCCCTTCTTGCATGCTGAGACCCTGCCCCTCCCTGAACGAAGTAGGATATGCTGGTATCAGAGGGATGTCAACAGCCTAGTGCTTTAACAATGTTTTAAATCTAGAGGAAGCAGGATAAGTTTGCCCTTAAGATATAAAGAAAGGCTGTTGCAGTAATCAATGTTCAAGTGCGTGGATTCGAAGCCTGTGGGAATGAAGAAGAGAAGTATATTGTGGGGTTTGTGAGATGTGGGGGGAAAACCCACCCTGCAATTTAGACACATCAAGTGCATGTCCGTGAGGAAGAATGAAGTTGATGACCTACTGATCGGTTCAAGTAAAAAAGGGTTATATGTGATGTTGGCGGTGATAGTTTTATCTAGGATGTTGGGAGCAACTTAATGATTCCACAAAAAGCTTTGGGAAGGGACACTCCATGAATATTTTATGTTTTCCACACTGTGACTGACAAGAAAAGCTAGTGTTGTATTAACTTGTTCTTGCTATGAATTTTATTCCAATGATAAGTAGATTTAAAAAATAGGGGTAGGGTTTTACTAATGGCTTGTATTTGCCCTATATAGAATCATTGCAATTGTCTTTTAATGTACTTGTATTACAGTATGAAATACTGCTTATTATGATGAAATTCAACAAATTATTAATGCTGGCAATACTTTCGTGTTCTCTACCTATCTAGTTCATGGTTTAAATGCTTGCATTTACGGTTAATTTAAAAATGCTTCCAGTACTTGATCCTGGAGAAGCCTCTAAAACTTGGCACTCGCACCAAAAGGTTTCTCTATCGCAGACTTCCTTCCTAGTAACTTTAGGACATTAGCAAAACCTCAGTGCCTTACAGTAAGCAAACTTTCTGAAACTGGAACCTCCCTCTCGTAATGAATCAACAGAAAAATAAAATTATAACTGTTATTTTTCCCGAAACACATGCTTTCAGTTGCATATAAGCAGGAGGAAAACCTAATGAATTAATATTTTAAAATGAGTTCTGAAATCTTTAATGGATATTTAATTCAAAGGCTAGACTGGAATAATTTGATAAAGCTTTATGCATTTAAAGAATATAGACTGTCCAAAAAGCTTTACATGAAAATGCTAGTCTTTATTGTGATTATTAGAAAATAATAATTTTTGAGAGAAAGCAAGACCAGGTTCTTACATTAAAAGCACTCTACTCAAGTAAAATCAAGACTTAAAGACTCAGCACATTAATGTAGCATAGCATTGTTGGTAATGAAAAACATGGAAAATAGTTCATATACACATTTCTCTTCTTGTTACCACCAAATCTTGTTGAGACTTGGAGGAAAAATAGGCCTTCATTAAAGGAAGTGGTTTAGAGACTATGCAGGCTTTGTCATGGCCACGATAACCTTCTGCAGCCTTGGAATGAAGTATGTTCTGCTTTAACACTCCCCCCTTGCTCTTTCCATCCTACCGAATATGAAGAATACTGTCAATTAGCTTAATGTTCAAGTTAGTGTCACAGCAAGTTGCTGCTCTTCAGCTGGGGAATGTTGAACATGAATTAGATTAAGACGAGGTAGGTAAGCAGATGTACACATGCATGTTTGTGTACACACATGCATGAGTTACTTTGGTCAAACAGACCTGTGGCCTATGTTTTCTTTTTTTTTTTTCTGTCTTCAAAACTGAAAACAAGACAGTAGAAATGCTTTTTTTCACATAGGTATTTTCTCCCGTTAGCTGTAGCTTAGCCTACCTAAAGTGTATGCACAGTTGCATCCTTGCTCTTGTTGGGTAAGGCAGAGTTCCCTATTTCTTGAGCTGTAGTAGCTTAAGCATTGTTCTTTTGTGAAACTCAGCTCTTGAATTTGGGGTAAATGTTTGTTTTACTTAATGGCTTCATTATTTAAGTTGTGGTAATGCAGAGTAGACTTGAGTCTATTAGCAGCTGTATTAGCACCTAATTTACTTACTGTGTCCTCTTTGCTACTGCTGTTCCTCTCCAAGCACTTCCGAGTCTCACGGTAGTCTTTAAATTCTTTCCTCTTTCCTTCCAGCATTGCAACTAGCCCATCTCTTTGAATTGGGCATCATTCACGGTAGCTGAGCATGAGGGGGTCTCATCTGCCAGATGCAGGTCCAAAGCAAGTGCTGGCTGACTAACAGCAGGGCTTTAAAGAAAAATAAAAACTACGTAATGAGGTTCCAAGATTATCCTTTGAAGGCTTATCTTTGTGGGGTCCATGTCTGGGCCTTTTCCCTAACACCTCTGATTTCTGATGCTGGTTGGAAGTGAGCCTAAACTCCTATATGTAACATATGTCACGCACAAGCTTTGCTTACTTAAAAAATTGAACTTTAAGTGAGGGGTCAAAGATACTATAGTACTTTTAATCATTTTTTCTTCCTTTAAAGAATATTCATGGAAGTGCTAAAGTGCTAGGGGTGTTAAATGCATGACAGAAAACTAAAGATAAGCATTTCAGTTCGAATTAAAGCTAACTTTCTCACGATGGCAAATGTAAAATGGAATTTTACATTAAATAAAATTTGTGAATACTTAAAGCTGTTGTTATTTCCTAAGTACCTTACTACAATTTAAAAAGGCCACATCTTCATACGGTTTATTGGCTAATAGGATTAGAATAGACAAAGCACATGGGATATATGATGCAGCTTCAGCTGCAAGCTAAAGCGGGAGCAATCCAGTGTAATTTTAAGGATACCAGTCTTTTATTTAATCTTGGAAATTTGTTGTCAAGTTCAACTTAGAAGCACTTCTCTTTTTGCCTAGTCTTGAATTGTAAACTAAGAGCGGGTTGATTTTCCATTTTAAAACTACTAGTCATTAACCCCAGTTTACTAGCGCAGCTATCTGAACAGTGGTTTGTGCATTGGAATGATGCTCCCTCATTAATTCTGAATTGTTTTTCTATTGTGGCAGTTGCTTATATTACTGCATATTTCAGAATAAAAATACTGGAACACTTCAAGAAAACCAGTATTAGTGGGGATGAATGGGAATGACCATCTGCTGATGCTTTGCTTGCTTTATCATTTTTAATTTTGTTCATCCAGTGTATTTACAATTAAAGAGAAAATAATTGTCAAGACCCAGGTCCCTTCCCTACTTTTTTTTCTGAATGGTACTTTCTCATTTGCTGTGTCCAGAGCGTTGTCCTCTTTGTGACACATTCTTCTTCCTTTTATAACAATCCTTGTTCTACTGCAGGGTGCGTATTAGAAAAGATGGTTGTGTTCAGAAAATACTTGTAGGGGATAATACCATCTTAAATTAAGTGTTATCAAAAAATGATACTGTTAGCTTTCTTGTTCTTCCATTCCTTGTTATTGTGCCATGTATCTTACCTATAATCCCTTGTAATATTTTCTATCTGGCCTTATTCACGTGAGTTTATGAATATTTACAATCCTTCCAGCAACATAAAACAAATGCTGACACCTGGACAGTGTTACAATAACAATAAATCCTGTGCACAAATTTATGTGTAAATAAAATCAGTGGTATTTCTGGTAACTTTTACCAATACCTTCTGACAAAAAACATATTTTGGTAGGGAAGAAGAGAGGAGAAAGCAATATCTATGAAATCAGTGGAGGTGAAGGTACTAACTATGTCTGACTGTGCACAGGTACACCTTTGGGTACATCATCAGAAGAAACTAAACCAAGTACAAAACTCATAGTAGAATATGCAGTCCAACCGCAGAAGAGAACTAGGCGAAAGCTCATGGATTCTCCAGCTCCGAGTCCTGCTGTTTCCAAGCACTCCAGCTTCCGTCATCTGGAGGATTCTCTCAGCAAGGAGGTTCGCCCCATTGTGTATACACCAGAATGCTGCAGACAGCCCCTGCAAAGCTGCTGTACACAGACTGTGGTCAAGCAAGACTTACAGACTGCAAGCCTTGAGGAGGCAGATGAGTGTAATGTAGATAAGCCACCAAAGAAGGATAGTCTTATGGACTCTACGTATAACCTTCTCCCAGAGTGTGGTGAAGCTGATGTGAACTCTACAGTAATTCTCTATCAAGACCCAAGCAGAACAACTGAAGATTTTATTGACTCATCTCCCAAAGAGTCGCAGCCATGTAGCACTAGCATTCTGCAAAGGTATACCCTTCCAAGTTTATATGGCCAAGGAATGCTACTTATTTTTCCCTATTTTTATTTCCCAAGCATTTCAATACTGTTAAATTTCAAATAAGTACTTTTTTGTGCTCGTAGTCCACGTTCATTTGTAAGCCTAACCTTTTGGAAATCGAACTTTCAATTTTCATCAAATTCATATTCCATTATCAAACTCTCAATTTTCATCAAATTCATATTCCATTCTGGCACTATTGGAAGTCAATGGTTCTTGACTAGTAAAAGAGTAAATCAAAGCTTTTCCTTTTCTACAAGTTATATGCTGAAAAAGTATGCTGTGTATCTTATTTATGGGGCCTCAAACTAGTTGCTACTTTTCCTGTAAGTGTTAGTTTTCCTCTCTACAAAAGGGGTACTTTAACCTTCTTGAGAAAATAATTCTGAGGTGCTATTTTGGAAATGGTCATTTGGATTTGAATTCCTGATATTCATTGCATGAAGTATTTACACTTTATTTTTTTTAAAAAAGCTATATAAAAAAGCTGAGATAAGTAATGTTATTAAAAAATATTTCTAGTATTGCTCTTCAGCTATAGTGAAAAGCAATTTTATTTGACTTCTATTCAGAATAGATTTTTAAGTAATGTGTTATTATAATTTCAGACTTGGTCTCTCTACCTTGAAAAACAAAAATTCTTCTTTGGTGCATGAAAAACCCTCATATATGGCAATGACTTCTGCTGCTGAGAGAAAAAGAAAGATATTAAGGTAAAGTGAAACTAATGTCTCTAATTCTATAAAAATCAATTTGTATTTTTTCTTATGTTCTCACTTCAGTTCCCACTTTAATTCTACTATTATATGCTAAATCTGAACAGCTTCTGACACAAGTCTTCTGGACTTATGAGCATAAGAGATGTCAAATATGTTCCACAACTGTCGTCTTTTTTTGGGGGGGCTTGGGGGTAAAACTTGAAGTGAAGCACTTTTGCTGTGTTTTGTTTGTTCAGGAGCTTCTGTTTTAATAGAACAAATACAAACTAATTTTACATCTTCCATAAATGCTATGTACTTGGAATAGAAAGATGACACATAGTTCTGAAAAGAAAAATTCCATTATCAATTACAAAATCTAATTTGTTTGAAAATGTTGTGCTTTTGCTGGAAAACACCGGAGACTACCAAAGTGGAAAGCAGACAAAATATTTGACACCACTTCTTTTGTGGGTGGTGCCTTTGTTTTTCTGATAATTTGTTGCCAGTCTTGGTTGTTATGACTTCATTCTTGTGGTCTGCTCTGGGAAGAATTCCCATTTGGTCACTTCTGTTTTTAGGCCCTGAAAGAGTTTTGTTATCAGGAGCAGCAGAGAAGCTGAAAATGAAGAGATACTCAAGCAGGGAATTTATACTTGAGGGGGAGGGGGATTATTATTGTTTTTCAAGGTAAGCTATTAAATGGCTATTGAGAAAGCAACCATTTTGTTTTAAATTGAGAGCAAAAAATGATACAATCTTTTAAATTTGTTATCAAGTTACTTATTACTAAACAGTAAATGGAGCTGCCATCTTATAGATCTTTTTCTAAAGAATCTTTCAAGATTGAGCAGGTTCTATAGATAAGTCAGGACATCTGTCCCTCACAACATCCTCCTGGGCAAGCTCCGGAAGTGTGGGATAGATGAGTGCACAGTGAGGTGGATTAGGAACTGGCTGGATGGCAGGGCCCAGAGAGTGGTGATCAGCGGTGCAGAGTCTAGTTGGAGGCCTGTAGCTAGCGGGGTCCCCCAGGGGTCAGTCCTTGGTCCAGTCCTGTTCAATTTATTCATCAAGGACCTGGATGAAGGCACAGAGTGCTCCCTCAGCAAGTTTGCTGATGACACGAAACTGGTAGGA